TTAATAGATTCTATGTCTTCCTTTGAGTATATTACCATTACACATGCCACTGTAATACTGCTAACTCATAGGAGTTAAGTAATTGACATGAATTTTAAACTAATTATGTAATTACATTTTGTTGTAAAATAGTGCCTCTGGGACTCTTAAAATAATTTCAGCTCTTCTGGGATAAAAAAAAATGAAGCTGTTTTAAAATAACAGTTCTCCATACAATTGCATACATTACAGCACTAGTTTGGCTCTTTATAAAGTCTGTATGTTTATAGAGAATTAAATATGTTGACACATTTTTCTCACAGTCGGCCTATCATTTTATTTGTATAAAATAAAGATAAAGTAATTGCACAACTTTATGGCCCACATTTCATCTGTTTCTATCATCCTGATTATAAAAAGAAAAGGATCCTTCTACTTTGGACAAACTTGCAGGCTATCGAATGTAGCCTGCCCACACGGCAGAGTCTGGCAAACTCCCCGTGGCGTACCAAATATGCCAAATGCCAGTAACAATGATGGGTCTCATTCTCCTAAAGAGCCTTGAATATAATTTCAGGGCTAGGATGAAAGAGATGTTACTGGGGTCTGCTCGAGGCAATCGACGAATAACAGGATGATGAAATGAAAATGAAATGAAATGGCCCACATTTCATCTGTTTCTATCATCCTGATTATAAAAAGAAAAGATCCTTCTTTTTGAATAATTGGTAGAATTCACCCGAGGTTTCTCATAGCAATGCATTATTCATGTTTCATATAATACTATATAAACCAGAGACAATTCTACACAGAGTGTGAAACTATATGTAGCGTACATCATTTTTCTTAATATTGATGGATTTTTTAAACTTTATTTTACATTTTACTAGTCAAGAGAATGCAGTGGAAATAAAAGAATGAAAGGAATGAATTTTTCATACAGATAACTCTGTTGAATTACTTTATACTCTACATCTAACACAAAATGCTGTTTCTGCTTCAGTACAAACCAGTCATTGTACTACAAAATTTTATTGGCACAGCTTAGTGTGGAACCTCCCTCTAGTGCTGACTATAGACTTATTTTATGTCATGGTTATCATTATCAATTAAGTAGCATTTTAAGATGAGTCCTGGTATGACATATATGAACATCTGGTTCTAATCTGAACACAATTTGCTTGAGATGTAATTTCAAGAAACATTAACCTTCACTTGTGGGCTTCTTTATTTCAGTTTATTATAGTTTTTATGTTACTCATGCTACTAAATCTGATTCGCAATTTTGAGATTTTATTTTGTACTGACTAAAATCTCTCAGGGGTCAGAGCTATAGTACAATGGGTAGGGGGTATGTCTCAAACTCAGTCAACCCGGGTCCAATTCCCGGCATCTCATATTGTCCGCCAAACACCGTCAGGAGTAATTCCTGAGTGCAGAGCCAGGAGTAACCCCTGAGCACTGCCAGGTGTGACCCAAAAAGGAAAAAAAAATTAAAAAATTAAATCTCTTATGTCATAAACTATTACTTTTTGAATGAGGGTTCAGTGTGTTTCCAAATTGTATCTTCTTTTAAAGAAAACTGATGAAGCAGTATCTGTGACAACAAAGCTGTGAGAGTTGGTAATGCTGTGTAGAAAATATGAGGATGTTGTGAACCTTAGTAAGGGCTGCTGGAAACACCTTTGGCTTATGCAAATGAGTTCTCAACCTGGTATCTGTAGTTTTCACCCAAGCCATGTCTTTCAATGGTAAATATTAAAACGAGTCCAAATGCAGACTAGAAAATGTTTATTAAACTGCCTTCGCTGTTTCCTCATAAGGCAAGTCTTCCCAGTGAGGGAAAACTTTTGAGCATTTTTTGGAACCAAGCAAGAGAAACAAAATTTTTTTTCACTGCATCTTCTCCTTTCAGTCTGGCGTGGAGCCAGACAAGGATTGGATCTAAAAGACAAGGAAAGGTGTAATGAGCATGCTTATAAAGCAAAGAGGTCTTGTTAAGTCAAGAGGAGCAAGAGTATACACAATGTAGAGCTACACAAAGCCGCCTGTATATCCACAGACTTAGAGGGGAACTGCTCTGAATAAGCTACTATGGGTCCTTTCCACACAGGGACATTTGATTTCCAAGTGAACTGGCTTACCGCTTTATTCCTATGCACTGTTCACATTTTCAAACCCCTGGATTACTATCCTTGAAAAATATCTGTCCACAGTCTCTGTATCTTCACAAATATCTATATGAAGAGTTGGACCAACTGCCTTTTACTTCTCTGTTGCTTTGAAGTCATTCTTCCCTGAAGATGATAACCAAGTTCATCAAGATGAGACGCAATTTACTACTAGCATGTTGCTTGCTGTCCTTGAGAATTTGTTGTTATATTCCAGAATCTAGCTATAGACGAATTTTAATTCATAGCACAGCATTCCACTGAGCTCTGTAACAACTCTGGGCCAGTCAATAAACCATTCTGCTTATCAATTTTCTTGTCAGTCAAATAAACAGCCTTATCTGCTACGCCAGCTTCTGTGCATTATTAAGTAAGATTAGTATATTTCATGAGCATGCCACTCTCATGCTTTCATTTATGCCCCACAATAGACACAGTGTCTTAGAATAATTATATTTTCTAACAAATAGATGGGACATACTGCTTCTTATAAAATTCAGAGTCAATTTTAGATATTTAGAATATTTTTATTTTTTTATAAATGTCCTGAAGTAGGGCTGGAGCGATAGCAAAGAGGGTAGGGTGTTTGCCTTGCAAGCGGCCAACATGGCCGACCCGAGTTCGATTCCTCTGCCCCTTTTGTAGAGCCGGCAAGCTACTGAGAGTATCTCGCCCGCAGAGCAAAGCCTGGCAAGCTACCCGTGATGTGTTTGATATGCCAAACACAGTAACAATTGTCACAATGGAGACAATTGGGCCTGCTCAAGCAAATCGATGAACAAGAGAGGACAGTGACAGTGACAGTCCTGAAGTAACTTTAACAGCTAATGCTTAGAGAGAGGCATCTTGGCCTGCTAGTGGTGGGTATGGTATAGAAGTACTTTGTTGTTACTATGTTTGGCATATTGAATACACCATGGGTGGCTTGCCAGGCTCTGCTGTGAGAAGTACTTTAATTTATAAAATAATATTATTGGCACTCTTGTGATAATAATCTTAATTTTGAAAATAAGAAAATTAAGTGCAACCTAGGCAATTACTGGAAAAAAGGAAGCAAATGGTACAAGATGTCATTTTTTTAATAAAATCTAGAAAATTAGTCAAATTATTAAGTAAAGTAAAAGTAAAGGCCCTCCCGTTGATCATCGATTTGCTCGAGCGGGCCCAGTAACGTCTCCATTGGAGACTTTGTTGTTACTGTGTCTGGCATATCGAACACTCTCGGTAGCTTGCCAGGCTCTCCGAGAGGGGCGGAGGAATCAAACTCGGGTCGGCCATATTGGCTGCGTGCAAGGCAAATGCCCTACCGCTGTGCTATCGCTCCAGCCGGGCGTTTGCTTTGCACGCAGCCAACATGGCCGACCCGAGTCAAATTATTATCTAATATATATTAAATAGAGACTGCAAATTTTTCAATTTTTCAATTTGGGAACTAATATTGTTCTTAGGCATGTAATTGCTTTGAAAATTATATGTTGTCTTCTTGGGAAAGTATGGAAGCAGATGTGTTTTCCTTCTAGAATTCAAGCATCTGTACAATTCAGCAACAAATATCCAACTCTATTCAAAAGAGACATTTGTGCTCCTACATTTATTGCAGAGTACATTCATTCACAATAGCTAAATCCTGGAAACAACCTAAGTGTCTAAGAATAGATGACTGGTTAAAGACGCTATGGTACTTGTACACTTTTAAATATGAGTATTACTTGGCTATAAAATGAAAACATGCAATTTGATGGTACATGGATAGATCTGGAGAGTTTTGTGCTGAGTGAAGATAGTCAGAAGAAAGACTCAATAGGCCTTTTCGCCAGGCAGTTCCAGTTAGGGGTAGGTGCCAGCCCTCTGCCTGCCCTCTAGGAACCCTGGTGGCCACCATCTTCTAGAACTCAGTGAAAAACTCCAGGTACAGGTGGCAGAGGTGGCAAATGTCAGCACTCACAGGACAGGGGAGGAGTCGGCCCTTCTTCTTGCTCTTACTCTGATGGGACTCTGAGATGATGCCATATCTGGCCACCATCTACTTAAGGTCCCAAAGGGCCATGATCCAGAGACACAAAAACAAATCTTGGACCCAAGCAGCTTGCTGCAAAGATCTCTCCAGACCCTAGTTATTACAATTTTAGAATTCCTAGATTATAGATTATATGGTATCCATAACAAGCAATAAAAACACATTGTCCAGCATTGCATTTTTGGCAGATATGAGTGGTGGTGGGACTGGGCTCAAATATTGAAGGTAACCAAAGTAGAGAAAGAGAGTATTGTGCAAATTGTATGCCACACAAGCAGGGGGAAGTGTAGAATGGAGGCAGGGGAGGGCGAATATTGGAGACTTTGGTGGAGGAAAATGTGCACTGGTGAAGGGATGGGTGTTTGATGATTGTATGATTGAAACTCAAACATGAAAGCTATGCTACTGTACCTCACAGTGAATCAATAGAAAGAATGGAAGGAAGGAAGGAAGGAAGGAAGGAAGGAAGGAAGGAAGGAAGGAAGGAAGGAAGGAAGGAAGGAAGACACAAAATGATCTCTCTCAAATTCAGGTTATTAAAAAACAGTAAGGGAATAACTAATGCCTAAATGCAATAGAATCCAAGAACTTATCTACAGAGCTAAGCTTACCATGGTGAGGGTGGGGATTTGGGGGCAGGGGAGGGTGCAATCCATGAGACAGTGGTGGAAGTGGACACTCTGGTGGAGGATATGGTGTTGAAATGTTGAAAAAAACCTGCCATTTACAGTGCTGAAAATCTTGGTGACTAAAAACTTTAAAAAGAAATACATTTATGTTTTCATTTACTTTTTTGGTATCCCTTACTTTATGCCTCTTTGCTTTCTGTACAGGGCCTGAGGGAGCTCTTTTTGAACATTCAGTGGAGACACCTTTAATCAGAGCAGACCCATTTCAGAATCTAAGGTGAGCGCTTTGCTCAAAATTATGCATGTTTTCTTCCATATTTGTTATCCTTATTCTATAAATTACTTTCCATTTCTAACTAATCACTGTTGATTCTATTCAGCATCTGTCACTGTCACTGACAACACTTAATCCTTTAAAATACACCATTTACTCAGAAGTTCACATGCTTATACTTCATGTATTTCACAAATGCAATATTTTCCCCTGGAAAGTATCAGCTTAAATCTGAAAGCTTTCTCAAAGCATTTAATGTTCTATTGTCCATCTCTATTCCAACTGCTGTCACTGTCACTGTCACTGTCCTCCCATTGTTCATCGATTTGTTCTAGCAGGCCCAGTAACATTGTGAGACTTGTTACTGTGTTTGGCATATCAGATACATCATTGGTAGCTTGCCAGGCTTTGCCTTGTGGGCTAGATACTCTCTGCAAACAAGAAAAATCTTTGTGTCTTTTTGTAGAAGACCACAGTACTTACGGTGGGCTTAAAACTTGGAAAAAGCATTCCTGAAAATGTCAGTTTACATTGTTTTTAAAATATGTGCACAGTTCACTTGATCACTTGACATCCCATTATTCATCAATTTGCTCGAGCGGGTGCCAGTAACATCTCCATTCGTCCCTGTCAAGTGATACTGTAGCCCAATGGCGTCTGCTCACTCCAGGAACACGCGAAGAGCCTCAAACCATTCATTCAGGGTCTTGACAAAGAAGTCTGATCATGGGAGGCCACGCAATCTTTTGACGTCCCTTGGAATCCAGGTGGTAACGGTTCTAATCCAGCATTCGTATCCATATTGCATTATGTGTCCAGCCCATCTGATTTTCAATGCCTTGGCAAACAAGACAGCATCCCTGATTCTTGATCATTGATGGAGGTCGGTACTCGGGATTCCTTCTCTCACTTGAGTGAAGTGTGATACTCTCAGCAGAGCTCTTTCAATTCCTCTTTGGGAGACCCGAATAGCATTCTTATCCTGTTTGTGTAGGTTTCTGAGGCGTATGTTAATGCAGGAGAATGGTGGAGTTGAAGAGATGTGCCCAGAGCCAGAGGTTCTTCATCTTTTTAGCTATTTCTTCTATAGCTATTTTTAGCTATTTCTTGAAGGAATTCCATGCCCCTCTCTTCCTCCTGCACAACCCAGGTGCCAGGTCGTTTGTAATGTTAAGTTCTCAACCTAGGTACACATAACTGCTGCATTCGGAGATGTTTGTTCCATGAGAATGAATGGAATGTAAGGAGTGAGTATGTTTCTCATAAACATTATCTTCGTGAAATTCAAAAACTCTCGAGCTCATTCGGCAACGTGGCTTGGCACAAGCCTCAGGCAATCACAAGCTAACGTCCGAGCTCACAAAGCAGTTCGGAGAAGCGATAAAGGAAGACCTTAAAGAGGGAAGACCAGCAGTGCTGGCCGATGCGGCAGAAGCCGGGAAAAGCATTCACAACGCCCGCCTGTCCTTTGCCAACTACAAGGCAAGATGACTGTCCTTTGACATCCTGATGGATCTATCACATCTTCCAGAAGGGCAATGGAGAAGATTATCCATGATTTCTACTCGGATCTCTTCGATAGCCACGTCTACCAGCCCAGAAGCAAACAGCACCCAGCCCAGACAAGGTTAGATGGATCACCTGAAGAATCTGCCGTTAGTAGTCATCAATACACTGGCTCTGCTCTTCACATGCTACCTGCCTGAATGCAAGGATGTTGTGTACCTATGTGTTCTTCAGTTTATCACGAGACTACTGACTGCTGTTTGCTGATCTGTTCCAAAATAATATATCTTTATTTTATAACAAAAGCAAATGATATTTTAAAAACAGATGTATTAAAGTCTAAGATACCTCTTAAAATCACACTTAAAATTGGACTTGAAATATATGCAGAACAATGAGCATGTTATAATAAATTGTGTATAATAATTTACATGGAACGTAACTTATGTGTAATAAAGGGAAATGCATACTAAGAACTCCAAAAAGTTATCAAAAGGCAACTTTTGAGATTTTTTTAATGTAAGAAAACTGCTCTTTGTTCATCCACTGATTAAGTTGACTGAAGCAGACATGAACTCCACATTACATTTTTTTTAATTTTTAAATTTTATTTTCATAAAGTTGTTCACAGTAATTATTTACATTCAACATTTCAACACAAATCCCACCACTATTAAACCTTTCCACCACTTTTATTTTGAATTTTACACCCACAACCCAAGCCTACCCTATAGGCAGTTGCTAAATAATTTATTTTGTATTGCTCATTATGAAGAGTATGAGATATTGTGCGACCACAAAAAACAGCCACTCACTCCTGGAATTCTAGAATTTTTTTTAAATATTTGGAGTCCGGAGGCATCTCCGCAGCCTGCTGCTCTCTTCTAAGATTCAACAACTTGAGACCAAGTTTCCCGAGAAATTAAACTGCCAAAAGTTAGGTATGTGGGAGTCACATCCATAAACCACCTCTGGCTCAGCTATATAAGCTCATTTACTGGCTTTCTTCAGAGACCCATAAATAAATCTCCAAAGAGATCAAAAGCCTACCATTTAAGTGCATTAACAGCCATGATTCAGAGACTCCCAAATGAATATGAGTCAAGTTTAGCACATAATTTTCACTCAATTTAAATGCATATGTGTCATTGAGTACTTCTCTCAAGTTTCTCCATTTTCTCTCCTGTTTTCCCTCCATCTGTTTTTCCTCTCTTCTGTCTTTAAGCATTTCAATCAAATCAACATTCAAATTGTTGAAGTAGACTGGAGTAACTGAAAAAAAATCTTCTTTCTTTTGACTTTTAATTTCAGGTACTGTGCTTTACAAATTTAAATAGTGTCAATGATAGGGTTCCAGGAATACATCTATCCAAGCCACAACCTGCCCACCCCCAGAGTGTCCCTTGTCCTCCACCATTGTCTCCGGGCCCCCTCCCTCTGTCCTGCCTCCACACCCTCTCCTGCTGCCCCTACCTCACATCTCACTGCTTTGGTAAGATCAGAACTGAAGAATGTTTTGAGTGACTATGATATGCCATCTGGTGTATATTCAGCATTTCTGGGGAAACAAGAGTTTTTCCAGTCCTTTATATTTCTGGTTCTGTTTCTATGCTTGATTTAGTCATATGGACATCCTGGCAAATTTTACCAACACAAAGCCAACTCTAACCAGTCTGAAGACTGGTCATCAATTCATCAATTCATCCTGTCCATCAATTCTATTGGTTCAGTCTTTCTCCAAAAGAAATCATTGCATCTGCTGAAAATCTTTCTAAATAAAGATATATACTAGGCTGGAGTAATAGTCCAGCAGGTAGGGCATTTACCTTGTATGAAGCTGAGCCAGGTTCAATATGCAGCATCTCACATGGTTCACTGAGCACCACCAGGAATGATCAATAAGTTCATAATCAGGAGTAACCCCTGAGCATTGCCAAGTGTGCTCCCCCCATCTCACAAAAAAAATAAAAATAAAAAGACACAAACTCAAGAGCCAGGTTTATATGTTATTTCATGACATGTACCAAATACATATGTTGCCCTTAAATCTTTTTCCCAAGCAACTTTGTTAGGGAAAAAGGAACTATGTAAAATACTTCTTAGATGTGATTATCAGGAAGCAGGTGGTGGGGGTGGGAGGGAACCTAGGGACATTAGTGGGGGTTACTTTGATACTGGTGGTAGGGACTGGTGTTGGAACATTGCATGTCTGAAACTATCATGAGTAACTTTGTAAACCACAGTGCCTTAATAAAAAAAGAATTTCAAAAGCAAATAGTTTTAAATGGCTTTATAAAATTATTCACAAATGACATTTTTCTGCCAAGGTGGTATGCCAAAGAATTTAATCAACTGAAACTGCCACTGTCTGCTACTGGCACTAAGGTTGAAGATTTTAAAGGACATGAATTTCACTGACTCTCACTGATGGAAAGTGTTTATTAATTATGTGTTATCTTTTTAATTTGCCAGCGAAAAATCAACAAATATTAGCATTCGAGAATAATGTAAGGATACAGTATTTCTTATTGTTTGTATTTTCTATGCCAAGTCATGTATCAAGGGATTTCTGGGATATAATTTTTTAACCAGCTTTTTCTTTACCTTCTTTTAATTTCAGATTGGAATCCCCCACACGGAGTCTAAGCATGGATGCCCCAAAAGGTGTTCATATAAAAGCTCATGCTGGGAAAATTGAGGCCCTTTCTCAAATGGATATTATTTTTCACAGTAGCGATGGAATGGTGAGTTGAATGTATATCCTAGTAATAAGCATGAGTATCATGTCTATGGAGATCTTGATATACTAAATTTATGGTAGTTTGTAAAGAAACATTATGAAAGGTATAATGTAATGAGTGAAAAAGGAGAGCAAGCAAACAATGAATGTATCACGGGAAGAACTAAAAAGAATTAGATAATTATATATTGACTCCAGGGAAATTTGACATTTGTGCAGTCAAATTTTACATCATTTTTAGCTTTAGAAAACTATCACGTCCTTTCAGAACTTATGGAGATGATCAATTCAGCCATTTCACTGAGGGATCCAATTTCCTTGAAATCTGATGTCACTAGCAGTAAGTGGCCATTGCCATCCTTTATTGCCTTGAGTTCTGCGCTTACATGCACTAAATTATGTTTATGTGAAAAATAAAAATGTCAACTACATAAGGATGAAATATGAAATTTTGAATCGGGAAATGTCACTAATAAAAGCTTAAGTTACAATGAGGCAGTGAAGGACACGCAATGATTGTTAGAGTACTACAGTGATTGATTAATTACCTATTGGATTCAGGAAAATTTATGGACCTCTCTGGACCTGTCTTTATGGTGGTCAAATTGGAGAAACAATCATTGTTTAACAGCATTATAGCATTATGTAAAATGGGGATTGAGATTATGAAATTGTATTAACTTGCTAATAAAAGAAAGATAAAGTTAAAAACTTGATATGCCAAATACTAAAAGAGAATATGTGTCTGGCAACCCACAAGATATTTTCTAAAAATACAAATGAAGACAGCAAGGAAGCAGAATATTAATTACAGTTACTAAAGTTTATTGCCGAATAGAAAAACATAATATAACTAATTCACTTTTTAAAATTGATCAATTTACAATAAGAAGAGAGAAAAAGACAACAAATTAGGAGAAAGCAAAATATACTGTGAAAAAAGTAATTTCCCAAAATATTAGACAAAACCTTAATCAGGAGTAACCTCTGAGCACTGCTAGGTGTGGCTTCAAAAGCCGAAAGGGAAAAAAAAAGAGCACCCACTGGGTTTCTTTTACTTTGACAATGCTCGGGAGCACAAGAGCAAACTGCATGTGACAAATGCTGTTGCTACAGAATCAGGGTCATCACCCAAGAGCGACTGTAGACTGCATGTATCAGCTCACAAAAGACTGGATTTTGTTGGAGGCAGGGTGATAGATAATATAAGAGATAGGATGCTTGCTGCGACCAACGAAGGCTCAATCCCGAGCACACCACAGGGTGCCCTGAGACCTGCAAGGAGTGATCCTTGGGTGCAGAGCCTGGAGTAAGTCCTGTGCATTACCAAGTGTAACCCAAACCACCACCCACCTCTCCTACCCTGACTCCACCCCCCAAAAACTGAAGTTTGTAGATGAGAGCTATGTAAAATAATAACTTTACCTTTGTTGGATAGGAGGAAGGTTACACCAATCAATCCACAACAAACTTTAATTCCTTCTAAAAAGCAGCTCTGGGTTGACTTAGGTGTGGCTATTCAGTAATTATTTTCTGGGGTCAAAGAGATAGTACAGCAGGGAATGCATTTGCCTTGCAGCAGCTGACCAAGGTTTGATCCCTGGCACTGAATATAATATCTTAAATAAAAATAAAGATGATTTATTTAGGTTATCAAAAGATTTCCAAATCTCAATCAATGGGCATTGGTTTGTGTTTCAGTTTAACTACAGAGACAAAAAAGGAGCCTAATTCTAATGGTCATGGGCCAGAGAGATAGTACAACAAGTAGAGTGCTTGCCTTGCATTCAACTGGCCTGAGTTCAATCCCAAGCAGCACTCAGGGTCCTCTGAGTACAGATCCAGAAGTAAGCCCTGAGCACACCAGGTGTGGCCCCCAAAGCAAACAAACAACAACAAAACAACTAAAAATCAACAACCAAAAATTTTTATATAAAAACTGTTGGAAATGATGGCCAAAATCTCTCATTTTATTTCTATTGACTTTTGTCTTTTTTCAGCATCTAATAGAAGGCACCATGAATTTCAAATCATATGAATAGATTAGGGAAACATTTGATCATTAATGATTTAATAGCCTCTTATAGGAAAATGAATCCTGTGTAGATTCCAACTTTCACAGGTAAAAAGTTACTAAGATGAACCTATTTCTATGGCTTTTACTTTATCCTAGTGACAACTAATTTCACATAGAGTATAACACAAAATGAATGTGACTAAATAAAGTAATTAACATTATTTTTGTCAAATAATTCTTAATGAGGGGGAAGAGAGGTTGGCTACTCCCTACAGTGCTCAGGGGACCATATGGTGCCAAGGGTTAAGCTGGTGTCCCTGTCCTGCAAGTCTCTGTCCAGAGCCCAGAGAATTCTGAAAAGGGTTTTCTAAGCTCAACTAGTGCAATTAATGAGGTTTTTTGTTTGTTTAAATGGCTGCCAGCCTGGGATCTAGTACAGTGGTTAGGGCACCACTCCGGTTAGGGCACCACTACAGTATGTGCCCATCAGGGTTTGAGTTCTGGCACAACATGAATTTCACCCAGCACCAGAGGGGTATCCTGGGGATCCCCAGCACAACAGGGCCCAAAGAGCACCACATCCTTGAGTCCTTGCTTTGAACCTACGGCCACCAGGCTAAGAATGACTGGTGGTACCAGTTGTTCTGAACACCACTTCAGAGCACCTTCTGATGAAAGTGATTGTCTTCCTCTCCAATTAGAGGTTTAGAGAAGGAATTATTAAGGCTATTATCTGTCTGTACACTAGAATTGAGCTTTACAAGAATCAGATAACCGTTACTTTAGTGAGCCAGGCGCCAATTCCATTTTATAGGTGATGAGGGTAGTGGGGAGAGTTAAATAGCAATTTATTTTGGATATTTTGAAAAATTAACTGTGCATATGTTTATTCTTTCTTTACCACTTCATTCTCATTTTCTTCAAGCAGCTTGTGCTTGATGCTGAAACTGTGTGTTTGCCCAAGCTGGTACAGGGAACTCACGGGCCTGCTAGCAGTTCACAAAGACTCTACGAGATCTGTGTGTGCCCAGATGGGAAGCTTTATCTCTCGGTGGCGGGCATGGGTACCACATGCCAAGAAAACAGTCATGTCTGTCTCTAAACTCTCTGCATCTTCCACGGAGCACCTGCCTGCCTTGTTCTAGTATGGCTTCAGTCCTTCACACTTGGACAGTAACTTAACATCCTGAAATGCTCAGACAACAACTGGGAACAGAAAGACATACTTTCAAAACAACTCGGAAAAGAAAACACAAGAGTGGGAATATTTCGACTAAGCTACATTTCACAGTGCCACATGGACAGAAGACACAGACTTCAAAGTCTATCAAAAGGATATGTTTATTCCTCTGGACTTTCATCAGAACCACTGTGACTTGCCCTTGCTTCCCTCCTCATCCCTTGTAATGTCAATGTACAGTTAAATATTGAGTGCTATGTGCAAAGAAATGATGGTTTCAGCTGTGGATCTCTATCTCTCCATAAAATACCACTGGTAAACCCTAATATGCCTCAAGGAGCTATAAGGTGTTACCCTACTGTAACTCAGCCCTGTAAATTTTAATGCAAAGCATTGTCAGCCTTCATGAGAAAAATCTTGTTTTTGAAGGTGCTTTGATCTGACTTTCAACATGTAGTCAAAGGAATAAATTATTCAAAATCAATCATTCCATATAGACAAGAGCAATAAAAATCAACCTACAGTTTTCAGAATATTCACACTTTGGGTATCTTTACTTTCTTTAACCCTCTCAAAAATTCTGAGATTGCTATTGATAGACCCAGACTCCCAAGGTCCTACTGAAATTAACAAAAAAAAAAATGAAAGTAGTTTCCACTCAAATATTTTCATTCTTATTCCTTCCGAAACACACATCTATTTGGGATAATATTCATTTGGTAATCAAAGAAGCTAAAGTCCAAAGGAGTTTTGTCATCCACCAGGAAAGATCAAACAGCTGACAAGTTGTAGTACTAATTGCCTTGAGTATGTATTTACCTTGACACAGAGATGACAGTTTAGTCTGTCACTTCAAAGAACCAAATTCCCACAGTTTCTGAGTATATGCTTAGTATACTATACTCATATATATTGGCTACTGTGTTGCTGTGTAAATCAACTGGGGCATACAGAATCTATAAAAACATGTTTGTTTTGTATAAATTCTTCAGTGTTTAACACCTTCACATCACACCCCCCGACACACCCTCTCACACACACACACACAGATCAACTTTGGTTTTGTTTTCTCTAATTGTGTTAATAAGAATCCCCAAACAGCGCAAGATGTAGTAGCACCAACAGCACTGAAATTTTCTAATTATAGGATTCACAACTATAAACACAAGTTCAAATTCATTTTTACCAAGTCTCAAAATTAGAGTAAACTCTATCTAATGCTACTTTAACTGCTGTCAATTTAAAAGTGTAGCCTGTTTATTCCCAATATTTTGTGGGTAAAGGGGTGGGGGCCATGCCCAGCAGTGTTCAGGGCTCTGGACTCAAGGAATTCTGGTTCTGCACTCCTGGACTTTATATGATAAAGTGAAGATCACTCCTGGTAGTGCTGGGGGATGAGAGAGTGGGTGAGGCATATGGAATGCCAGGGAGCAAACTTAGGTCAGCCACGTGCAAGTCAAGTGCCGTACCCACTGTACAATTGCTCCAACCCTCACCATTCTCCAATATTTTAAATTCTAATGTTCACAGCATTTGGAACTGCAAAATATATGTGTATATATACATATATGCATTATATATATACATATATATAAAATGCTTCCTAAGCAGTTAAACAAAACAACTCTAAATACGTGCCTATTGTTTTTCAGGGGTAGTGAGCATTTTTAGAATATGAGTTTGTATTACCATTTTCCATTCATTAAGTTCTTATTTTTAGATTGCATTGACATAGTAAAACGTGTAGCTTTTATTTCCTGTTATATTTTCTTGATCTATGATTACACAAATATTTTCAAGCCTAGTTGACATAACAAAATCACCACAGAACATTTATAAATGAGCTTGTCTCTTATAACACATGTTAAAAACAACCCCCCAAAATATGGTTATTATATGATAAAGTGAGGTCAAGAAAAAAGAATCAAGGTGAAAGGTATGAAAAGTACCTTTTGGGGCAGTTCAGATAGAGAAGGGAGCACCAAATAAAGGGTGTTTGGAGGATCCTCCCAGGAGGGGAAATGCATGTTGAAAGTAGACTATGGACTGAACATGTTTGCCACTCAATGCCTCTTTTGCAGACCACAACACCCAAAAGGAGAGAGAGAACAAAAGGGAATGCCCTGCCACAGAGGCAGGGTGGGGGGTGAGGGTGGGGGGGATGTTATCCATGGTGGTGGAAAATGGGCACTGGTGGAGGGATGGGTATTTGATCATTGTATGACCAAAACCCAAGCACAAAGATTTGTAAATCTACAACTGTACCTCATGGTGCTTCACTAATAAAATTTAAAAAAAAAAAGACCCTGAAAAAAAAAAGTACCTTTTGAATGAAAGATGTAACTATTTTGCCACTTTGCTATAAGGATCATTATGAAGGAAGCTGTGCATAACTGTTCAGAGTGATTGATTTCCTTTGATTAGAAACAAAGCTTTCAGATAAACTCTCGTTGGTCCAAGGTTAAGAATAAGAACATGTCTAGTGAGAAATATACACTGATACCCCTTATATGTGGTTTATAGACCATTCAGTGTAGATGTTTTAGTGACCCTCCCCCCAAATAACCCTTCTTTCCAATTTTTAAAGCAACAGAGAATTCACAATAAAAAGAATGAAGATCAAAATACCTACTTTAATAATAAAAGATCCTTCATTTGAAGCAAAATGAATGTCCTGAAGCTTGAAAGTTATGCAGAACTTGTAGACCCCAACACTTGTGACCCAATGTGTGAAGTATGGGTAGACCACCAGTTTTGATGGCAGCTAAACTCAAAATAATGAAGAAAAGAGTTGAGCAACCCACGTTTTTATGTCCTCCCCCTCACATCTCTTGTCAATCTCTACTTCTTGGGACCACGAGGAGAGTGAGAGCAATGCTGATAGGTAGGATGCACTTGCTCTCTCTACATTTTGTTCTCTGTTCTCCTTGGTTTAAATGATGTTTACTTGCAGTATAAGTCTCCATAATTTAAACTCAAGTCTGCAATTCTTTGAAAATCAAATAATCTTTGTATCAAAATAAAAAATCAAATATTTTCTATCAATAACATACAACATGAGTTTTGAAAAACACAGCTAAGTAAAATGAATTATTTCAAATAAAGGAACACCACAATTTTTTTTTCAGATTCCCAAGTTTTTCACTGAGAATAAATGAGGGTGCTTTTTGTGACACTAACTCTAAGAGAAGGCAAGCATACATTTTAAACACATATCACACCATTCTTATTTCTAAAGGAAATCTAACTTGGGCTTTAGCATACAAAATGACTGAGTTAATATGAGCAAATATCTCCCAGTCGTTGACAGAAACTGACAACGTAGCCACAGAGTGCTCAGAAAGAATATTTTCAGATTAATTAATTTCTAAAATTCTAAAATAAATTTAGATAAAGCTATGTACCAGTTCTATATATTGAATAGATCTGAATGTCATAGATTTCACTGCATGAGTATTAATGTTTGATTAGTTCTGACAGCCTCTGCTGGGAATGCTCACTAAAAAATTTATATGTACTTGTAATATCTTTCAAGTCCAAAATTCAAAATATATATAGAACCAAGGGTTCCATTTATGGGCTTGTGAATCTGCTGTGTTTTATATTTCCTTAAATCTATGAAAACAAACTCCAATTAAATAAACTATAACAAAAGCTACAGTTTTTCTGTGTAAATTTTAGCATCCAAAATCAATAAAACATATTCTGTGTTGAAACTTAGTTTCAAAGTAAGGCCCATAAAACCAACAACCCAGATTTGAAAGAGAGAACTCAGCTCAGATTTAACTTTGAAAACTTAAGTTTTCTCTAACAAATATATAGATAATCTTACTGCATACAGAGAGATAAAATAAAAACCCTTAACTAAATCAAGGTGCAGCTAATAAACTTAGCATAGATCAATTCTATTTTAATACTTCTAATCAACAAATACATACACATGTCAAAACTAAATATAGAAACGGACAACATTTGAGTTTTAATGAACTATTTTTCAGGAAATATCAGTTACAGTGATTTCATATGTACATTTGCTTTATTAATATTAAAATTATGGCACTTAATAGCAGATATAATTACATGGCTTCACATCCAGAAGCGATACAATAGTAGATGTGCAACATTCTTTATTACCAACAAAAGTAAAAAAGTGATGACATATTCCATAAGCCCTTAATTGCATAAAATACATTTAGCATAATTTACAGAAGCACACTTATATAAACCAATACCTTTTACATCCTGTAAAAGTAATATATTAAATAAGTATGACACTCAAACATGATGAAAATTAAATGTCAGTTCTGAATCACTCATGGGGAAAATACAAGCTGATTCTTTTTCTTTCACAAACTACTGGATATTTTCATAATAATTTTGCCATTTAATATTTTCAAAGTAAAAAAAAAATCCAGTAAGTGCCATGTGGGAAAAAAGTTTTTAACTGCAGCACCTTTAGACAACAAAAGATTACATTCTGTTCAACCACACTTTACAAATACAATATTTGTGGAAAATATGTATACAACAGAAATATGTTCACAAACAGAAAGCAAATGTAATGTTATAAGGGTTGACCTGTGTTTTGGTATGCAGTCATCAGAGTAATGCTAACATCTGATGATAAGAGAGATCTGCCACCATTTTAAATTTCCATATTACCTTCATGAAATAGGAATCCTGTAAACATAAGATATTTTAAAATTTCAAATAAGGATGTAAAGTGCACTCAGTGCACCCTATGTACTATCTGCATACTCTTAATCAAGTATTATTCAGGATTAAAATATTGTACCATTTTTAAATGTAGTCTTTAAGATGTAAACTTGCAGCAAATTCATAATCAGGTCCAGCTGATAATATATTCAAAATTGATCCACTTAAAAACTTACTAACTCCAAAGTCTTCATATCTTTTACATGTGTAGACCAATGATATGTCCAGTGTTTCACTAGCTCCTCCAAAAATACCATGAGACCTACATAGACTCATCTTGCAAACTGCTAAGTTTTTGGTTCTATAAGGTACAGCTCAATAAAGTTCCATCTGAGCCATTCCAACGCGTACTGTGATTTTGTCAGTTCACTATCTTCAAAATATATTTTTAGTTTAAGAATTTCTACTTCTCTCCATGTTAATTACAACTCAAAAATTTATTCCCAAACCATTTTCAATGTGCTTCACAACTACTAAGTAAGTGGTAATGAAACTTTCACACTGCAAACAGCAATTCACTTCTGCACTACAACACATTCAAGATCTGTGTTTTCCTTTTCCATTCATACCTTCATACTTTTTGTTGTATAAAATTTTCAAGTTTTATTATGATACAGGCAGTACATTCCATCACCCTCATAGCTACCTCTGAAGTGAACCTGTCATTTGGGATCTGTGGGAAAGGAAGTAAATCAGGGTATCTCGTTTTTAAACTGTCTACACCATATGCTTCCAATGTATGGACATCATTTGTTAGTCCTTCAAGCTGCTGACTATACTCCTCTATTTTTTGTGCAAGGGCAGTTGGTTTCACATCTTTATCAGATTTCCCTCTCACAGCATAGTCTGCAGCAATCAGAGCTAACTTGGTAGAAAGGTAGCATTTAAAGCACACCCATTCATTGGCATTCTTATGAAGATCATTCCTGGCAGCTGAAAAATTGGCTCTGGCTTGTCTTAACCATCTACGTGCTTCGACTGGATTACCAACCGACTTGAAAGTAGGAGGAACAAAGAACCTTTGAGAGTAAGTCTGTCCAGCTGTCGGAGGGCATTTTTCTTTATTTTGTTGTTGCCTTTCAGATTTGTGACTTGTTGCTTCTTGATTCCATGAAGTGTAAAATCTTTGGAATGAGTATTTGTCAGACTGAAATCGGGACGCTGAGCTTGAAAATGTTCGCCTTGAAGTCCTGTCTGTATTTTGATCTAGAAAGGCCTGCTTCTCTAATCTGTTAATCTCATTTTGCAAATGTTTAAACACTTCATTAGCAATATCGTGATTCTCTGGGTTTTTGTCTGGGTGCCATTTCAAATACAACCGTCGAATAATCTTCTTTCTCTCAGATTCTGGCAACTTCCAAGCTTGCTCCACTACTGATGTCACTTCTTTTAAAATCTCTGGTAAAGAATTCACTTTAAGTTTTTTGGGGGAGTGATGCTTGGAAGAAGGGGTCTTTTGGCTCTCTCTTGCTGAGAAAAGGGGAGGAATGCTTCGCAAGCCAGGGACAAGGAACTCTGTAGGGCTGGTGGGTGTGGAGGGAGCACTGTCTCTGCTTTGAGAGCTTTCTTCAGGTCTTGAAAATTTATACAGGTCAAGGGAGCTAACTATTTTATATTCACTATAACCAATATCAATCTGATATATCTTTCCTAGAAAACTAGAATTATCAGCATCTTCTCTTTCAACTTCTTGTACGATAATTGCATAGGTATATGTTGGCTGATATGATCCATAGATATCACCACCTTCAGCATCGACAAGATATCCTACATATTCTCCTGGGTAAAAAACATTCATTGGATCCATGAGCAGAGTATAATGAATTTCAGCAGGTATCGGAGTGCCAGGCATTGGAAGTTCAAGCTTTGATGGTTCTGAAGAGTCATATTTCACTCCTAAACTGTCAAGTTTCTCACTGATCCTGTAAATATCATTGCATCCTAGCATAGCAATTAAATACGAAGTGTCAGATATCAAATTATCAGTTGCTGACTTAAGTGTCATTGCTAATGCTAGTAAGAAGTTAATGTCTTTACTGTCTGAATGCTGTATATACAGCAGAATTACTGCATTACCAAATCTCTTCAAAAAAGCGAAAGTTTCACTTCTGCTATGGGGAATGGGATTAAAACCTTTAACTCTTAGTGTTGTTTGAAGCTTTTCAAAACAGGACACTTTCAATCCTTCTCTTAGGGCTTTGCAAAGTCTTATGGCTTTTTCTTCATTTGCTAGGAAAGCGTTATCATTTTCATGCTTCATAATTCTAATCAGACCTGTGATGAACTGTTCAGAAGATAAGAGTAACTGCAGTCTACCCTGAAGAGAACACAGTGCTCCAAACTGACATACTTTGGGAGTCTCTTCATCTAACTGTTCTTCAAGTATACTGCTCAATAAACGAGGCCTAAGTTTTTGAGGAAAAAGCATTATCAACTTAGTATGAAATCCATGGTCTTTTCCTAAGTAGCACTGGCTAAGGTCAACCAACATTTGCACACCAATATTCCCCTGGATTCTGCTTTTGTAATGTGGTGCATCATCAAACACTAAAATACTTGATTTTACTAATCTGCCATCCTGACTTGGAAGGTAGAGTGCAAGATCTCGTACATTCTCAAGATCACTCCTCACCTTGACTGAATCGTTTTGTAGACTCTTGAATAAGCCTGAAACTACTCTCTTCACTGTACGCATTTCATTGGGATCCAGTTGTTTTCCTTCTGAATTTTTGAATATGCGGCTCAACACTTCAACATACTGCTTAGTTGAAATAACATCTTCAGTTCCTAAAAGTTTGAACAACTGATGAAAGGTGCCTAGTTCTAAAGGTAGCTTATACAAATAAGGTTTAAAATCAGATTCATACTCCAAATTTATCACGACCTCCTCAGGCTTAAGAAGTTTCCAACCATCTTCCACCATCACAAAAGCAACCCCCCGCAGTTGAAAACGAAACTCCCTTTTGTCTGCACTGAGAAATTCATATATGCTCCGTAAGACTTTTGCTCTTGTTTTTACCATTTCTTCATCTAAAGTTGTTATGTTGCATATGTTTCTGCAGTTGTTAATGACCTTATCAAGAGGAGGATCCAAGTTAACATTAAGCATACTTAAAACTTGTTCAAGCTGTTCTTGTGGACCAAGGTCACTGCCTTCTTGTTCTTTGATAGTCAATGGAGTGGCTTTCTCTGGGAGAATAGGGCAGGATGTCCATAACAGCTGGAGCACATCACACTGCTTGAATTTTGGATTTACTTGTGCTCCATTGAATTTTATGAGAGGAAGTGTTCCGTTTACCTCTTGATATTGAGGGTGAAATCTAATGAATTCAGCGGGGGCCCGCTCAGGACATAAAAATGGTATTAAAGAAAGTTCTTTCAGAAAGTTTCCAGATAACAAATCCATTCGTTCTTGGAAGATATGGTAGAGAAGAATATCGACTGTATTTTGCAATGTTTCTTTAGACCAGTTTTCAGTATTGGCTCTCACACTGATTTCCTTAGCAAACTGTAACAACTGCTGCTGAGAAAGTATGTATTTTAATCCAATATTCCTTAAGAACTCTACCCAGGATGTCATAAATGCAACTTGATTTTTGGGTTTTATAAGCTGTTCCAATTTTTTAAAGAAGTCCTTAGGAATAAAAAATTTTTCAGGAAGCATAACCTCAAAAACTCTCACAGTTCTATCATAGAAATGTTTTGCTTGCTTTAATCGATTATTAGCATCATGAATTACTAATATACTTTCTAGTTTCTCAAAAAGTTGTTCCTTGATTTCTGATGATTCCTCAATACTTGATAACCTAGTCTTAAGATAGATCAAGTGCTCTAATTTTGCATCATAAGAGAGATTTTCAATTTTTGGTAAGAGATGTTTTAAATATACTTCAAGATCATCTACAGGGACACAACCAAGCACCTCATATAGTTCTTTTAAATGTATTTTTTCTTCCAGAAATGCAGAGGACAATGATTGTGTCCATTTTTCTACTTCAGTTGAAGGAATACTTTTTGTAAGTACATAGCATGTTCCAAATTTTGCGATGCTCATATAGCGGCCACTGATGGATCTGTAGCATGGAAGTGACTTCAGAATTTTGATGTCATCTTGTGACATCAAGTGACCCAAATTACAGTTGAAATACATCAAAAGTGCTTCAAAGTCATGTTCTACTAATTTTTCAGTTCTAAATGTTGAAGTTTGAACCATATATTGAAGAGCTTTCAAAATGCTTGTGGGACTTTCTATGTTGGCTGTGTGACATGCCAACAGAGGAACAAATGCACTGTCCTTGGAGCAGATTTTGTTCAAAGCAAGCTGAACACAGCCAGCTTTCATGAGAGCATGGAATACTTTATCACTTTGAGCATTTGGAAACACTGCAATATGCATGAGGCTTAGAGGAAGCAGAACATCACCCTCAGGAACTACAAGCTGGTTGGCTGAAACAGTAAACTTTGTTCCTGGAAGCAATGCCCAGTCTTTCAGAGTATCAGCAACAATGTCAAATGTTGGTTTTGATTCCTCTTGATCTTCTTTCATACTTACAGATTCACTGATAAAATGCCATGTATTCTTAAGCCAAGACTCATTTGCAAAATTGTCTTTCCACTTAGTACAATTTTTGGTCTTATATTCACGAGGCAATACAGAAGAAAGCAAATCAGCAAAGCTGGAAATGTCAAATACTTTAGCAACCTTACTGTTTAATAAAATATTACTGTATTTCAAATACAATGTATTCATGAACAGATCTTTTCGAGATGGAATCAACTCATGGTATGTTGTTAGAAACTTGGGTTTTTTGGCATCGAAAGTTTGTAAAACACTGTCCAGTGTAATGAGAAGAGGCAGTCCTTCCACTTCAATATCATTTTCTTCTGCATCTTTGAAACAGTAATCAACTAAAAGTTTTAAACTATGAAAAAGTTTTAGGTTAGTCTGCTGGAGACGACAAGGCAGCTTTCCAATATGGCAATTAGTATCAGGAGAAGAAAATGTCATTAAAAAGGCTCGAACATCAGCAGGAGTCACATAACTAACAGGGATGTCTGCATCTATAAGACAGTGGTACAAATTAGCAGTTTCATCACAGTTATAAACCAAGTTGAAGCCAATTTCTAAAAGGAGATGTTTCAGTCTATATACATTCTCTGCCACAGTTTTGCGTGTTGTGATATTATAATCTGCATTTTTAAGGTGTTGTAATTCATCCTGCAGTAAATTGTCAAAAAATGGCCTAGTTTTATTTGAAGTAGACATATTGATCCAAGTAATTATAACTGCAGCATGCAAATCAGAACCATCAATGTTTGGGGCCCGTACAACTGGTAACAGACGTTTCATATCTTCATGAATGCAACTATAAAGCGCTTTCACTAGACAATACAGATCGGGCTGTAAATCAAGTCTATTAACAGGGAAAAATGACAAAAATTTCTTTAGAGTATCCTTTACAACATGAATAGACGTGTTCTGTAAAACTGATAGTGTTGGGTCAGAACCAGGAAAATACCGTTTTTTTAACTGAATTAGTAATTCAACATATGCAGGGGCTATTAGTGCTGTCATTAAACTGTTGTTCCAGTCACTTCGAACACCAACCCCATTATCATCACGCCACAAATTTCTTCTGGCTGAGTCCAGAGCAAAGTGGCCATTCACGTGAAAGGGGAGCCCTGTCTCTAGAGAGAGGGGCAGGAAGCAGAAGGCCCTGTGGGGCTTCTTATAATTGTGAGTGATGCAAGCAGCCACCCCACCACGCGGGAAGAGAGTAATATCTTGGTTCTTGTGAGCTGATATTACACTCTTAGATACTTTTTCCATGCTTGAAAAACCTGATCTATTACAAATTAGCCATGTTGTAAGATTTCCTTCAGAGTCCTCAGTATCCATAGTATAGGTTATCTGTTGAACTGGTATGTCTTTCAGTTGCCTCTTTTTAGTAACACTATCAATTACAGAGGCGTGAAATTGTTTCCTTTTCAGCCTATCCCCATCAGTGATCTTTCCCTTTACAGAATACAGCACATTTAGAGCTCCAGAAGCTTTGTCTATTTCACAAATTGAAATCTTCTCCATGTGATTAAGAAACATTAAAAGTTCTGCACCATCTGACCTCAGTTTGTCCAAAAGATTCTGAACCATTCTATCTGATGATGGAACTGAGGAAATTTCTGAAACCTTTGCCATGTCTGCATTACGAAGAGGAAATCTGAACATTGTGCAATTATCCAGTTTAAAATGTGTTCCCAAGTAAAGATCCAGAACATCTGAGAACTGTGTCCTGAAATCTGCGTCCAAATCTCTAAACATGCGCCCAGGACTAACAGATGTAGCTCCTGGTGCATATCTGGCATGGGGATCAAAAATACACAGGATGTCATTGCCAGAAATGAAAGAAGGGCAGTCTGTAATGTGATAGACAGAATTGAACCCGATTCCATACTGTCCAGTTTTATAAGGGTTTCCTTCTTTGGTGCCTTTTCCAAGGTTCTGAATTCCCTTGACATCATCTTCTGTGAAAGGCTGGTTGTTATACACACAAAGTGCTGGTCCTTGCAGTGGGGCCCACTTGTCGTCAAATATTCTGTCAACTGGGTGCTGTCTAGGATCAAAAACAAAACAGATTTCTGTGGCCTTTGCATCATCAGCATTTTGAAGAAGTTCTTTCAACATTTCTTTTTCTGAAGGATAGGCATTAAGGATACTTTTAATTCTGCTAGTCAGTTTTTCTTTCTGTCCAAATTCAGTGCCAAGGGTTGTAAAACAGATGTTGGATGCATATCTCTCCAAGGCTTTATGTCGCTTTGGTACTGCTCCTAGTTTTACAGCTACTTCCCGGGGTATGTCAGCATGACAGTATTTTACAGTGGTGTCCTTTACTTTTATCCAAGGACAATCATTGTAGCATAAAGATTTAGCAGGGAGAAGCTTAAGGTTAGTATCTGGCAATAATATTTTGCCATAATTTTTCTCACAAAATTCTTGTTTCTTCTCTCTTATGAGGCTCCATATTCCTTCACTAATTATTCGCCGGCAAAGCTGAAATTTTTCTTCTGTTATTTTCTGTTTTCCCTTTTCTTGATCAATAGATTCCAAAACAAAGGCAAAATCTTCAACAGAAAATGACTGTCTAACACCCACACTCTCAAAAAGTTCACGGAAATTATTTTTATATTTATTGGGCAACTGATAAAGATAGGGCGCTGCTTCAAAATTCAAATGAAATGAAACTTTTTCTGAATCAACATATGCATTCTCAACTAGAATAAAGCTAAAGGTTTTTAACTTTTCAGCAACAGCTATCTTAGTGGTTTCACTTTGCATCATTGCTTCATGAAGATATTTGTAGCAAGCATTCGTGATATTCTCCTGGTACAATGTTATTCCATCATCAACTGATTTTGCGACTTCTTTCAATTGGTTTACAACCAGATCCACTGTTGGCTTTCTTAATAATCCCAAAAACTCTTTAACAGCCAAAGGCACTGAACCACAACCTTTGAAAGAATGTGAATTTTCATTTAGAATTGGTTGCAAAAGACAAACTGTATCTTGATGTTCAGACGTATAAAGGTCAGTTGCAGCAAACATGGTTTCTGGCTTAAAACTGTTGCCTTTCCAATCCAAAGAAAAACCTGCTGGTTTTGTTAGAAATGGAAGGAATGGAATTGTTTGATATCTTGTTGCAAAATCCTTGGCTCTAGGATCCCTTATTTTTAGTTTTTCATCAATAAGACTAATCAGTATACTACTTCTTAGACAAGCAGCAACATGATCACTTCTATTAATTTCAGCTACTGACTCTGCACGTTCTAGCATGTCATCCCATAAAATATCATCTTTTGCCATACCTAATTGAACTAGTTTAATCAAAATTATTGGATTAAGATAGTCCTGAGTAGAACCATATGGAAACCGTCCATCACTCATATCAAATAACTTTGCAACTCGCCCCTCGGGATGAATTAATCTTGATGGCAAAACCAAAGGATGCCCTTCAAGAGAGCAAGGAATACATGGAGTGACACGAAGAATTACCGCAAATTCATCAACTTTTTCATTTAAAACATAATTCATTAAAGGATCTCTGAGTTCTGCTTCTATTTCTTGAATATTTGGGAAAAATACTTCTGAAAAAAACTGTTTTTCTGAGAATGTATTTTCAAGAAGTATCTGTTTGCACCCTGCTTCTTCAAATCCCAGTTTTACTGAAGATGGAAGTTCAACAGCACATAGGTTTCTTGAGCCAGTTTTTTTGAGGTATTTCAAAAATATCTTAAAGGCTGCTGGACCAACATCTTTTCTTTTAAGTATAGAGTCATCTAGAAATCTCACATTCTTCATGGAAACCCATGTCGATCCATCAGAGAAGACTCTGGTTAATTCTTTCCCTTTTCCATGAGCTATGTCTTCATAAAGTCCATGACATATTATAGAAAAGTCATCATGAACTAAGTCAGGATCAGGCCACACTGCATAGTAAGTATAGTCTATTAGTTCCCCATTGATGGCCAAATCACGTAGGACACAGAGCGCCTCTAAGTATGCTTTCACAATCACATGCCTCATGAAGGTTGTGTTCCATCGTCCTTTTGTGTCTGTCTTCCAGATTTCTTTTCTATTTGAAGTAACAGCAAAGCATCCATTGATGTGAACTGGCAATCCAGTTTTTATTCGTAGAGGTAAATAGCAAAATACCTCTCCCACATGTGGTTTCACTGTCCACTTCTGGTTCTGGATTTCAGAGAGCAGAACTCCTACTGCTCCACAAGGAACCAGTCCTAGCCTGCGTCCACTTTCACTCAGGGAAAACTTCAGAGCCTCTCCAGTATCCATGCAGGTACATATAAGCCATGTGGTACAATCAATTGTTTTTTGTGGCAACTCATCTGGTGGTTTTTTTGATTGGCCAGACTTGGCCATTTCAAAGAGAGCAGCTGGGTCATCATCTGGACCTCTAAATAGCGGTGACTGTAAGTCAGCAATCCTTCTGAATACATGGTGAAATTCCTCAACTGTGATCTGAAGAATGCAACATGACTTTGGTGCATCCGAGGGGAGCTTTTTATTACTGCCATTGCAAGTCTTCATGAGCTTAGCAGCTTCTTTTAAAACACTCAAGACAGGTTCAGTCAGTGCTTTGGAAGAGCAAGATTTTTTTTTAATTATTATTGTGTCCTGTGCTAAGTTGGGATTAGTTTCCTCAATTTTCAAGTACTTTAAATACATTGAGTCTACACTCTGGGTGAAAATGATAAGTCTGTGTCCACACAGACTAAATTCATCTACAAGAGAATAAATATCTGCTGTGTTGTAGCAGGTACTACTAACTTCACTCACTTTTGCTTCCTGCTGTGTTCTAAAGGAGAGTCGGAAAAGAGTTCCATTGTAACTATAGGGTGCTTCTACTGTCAAAGGCAACTGACAGCCAAATATATCTATAAATGGTTTGAACTGATTGGGAAATTTCCTGAGTCTTTTCTGTTGTTTACTCCAATTAATTTTGATTCCTGGATTAGATTTATCTTTAATGTGCTTGCTAATATGATTTATGTTTGGATCAAACATTATCATGAATTCTCGACTCATAATGATGGGAATGTCGGTGATATGATACACAGAATTAAATCCAAGGCCAAATTTTCCAACTTTGTCAACTTCTCCTCTTTTTAGAGATTCTCCTAACCTAGTTATATTCAAAAAGTCTGAATCTGAAAACTCAGAATTATTGAATGACCACAAAGCAGGCCCATGGCAAGCTGCCATTCCTGGGTCGAGAAGATTCTCTCTAATGTCCATATTTCTTCTCATATCAATCATGAAACTACATTCTGTTGCATTTGCATCATCAGCATTCTGAAGTAATTCTTTAAAAATATCTGACACTGAAGGGTATTCTTCTAGAATATTTTTAATTCTTACAGTGAGTGGTTCTCTTTGTCCTGACTGTTCAAATCCCATATTTTCAGGATTGATCAGTCTTGTACTGAGACATGGAACTTTCAGCCATTCTGCTGTTTTCATAGGTATATCTTCATGCACCAAAATGATTGGTTCCACTGAATCTTCCAGTAAGTCATTCAGGTCATCGACTTTGATGTCACAGTAACAGCATTCATGAATTGGTTTCATAATTAGTTTAGATGGATTTTTGCTATGATGTATAGGAACTGGTGTGTTGGGGCTTGCTGGAATCTGATTGCTATATAGCCATCTCATAATATTCAACATAAGATGAAGGTTTTGTTTACTTTCCTGTTCACTGAGCTCTTGGTCACTTTTGAGGTATACCTTCTGAATGACCATAGAAATGTGATCTGATGTCAATTCCTCGATTGAGCCACAGGCCTTGAACAGCTGGTGGAATTTCGCCATAGTTTTTGGCACACTGTGCAAATAAGGCTGAAGATCAAGATCATGGAAAGGTTTTATCACAGCTTGAGCAAGAGGACAAAATTTTTTGCCAGTCCAAACCCATGGAAATTTTAAGGCTCTGAAAGCATCCTTCCCTTCATTTAAGTGATCATGCATAAATCCATAAATTTCAAGCAAAATATGCTGAAATTGATAGTAGTCTTCATCACTAAATGTTTTTGAAGTATACCAATCAACAACAATTTTAAAATGTTTCAAGACAGCATTGATACTAGGTTTTATGAAGATACCTAAAGCTTTTTCTAAATTTGTATGAATACTTTCAACAAGAGGTAGTGATGAACCCACAAGAATTGCATGGGATACATCACACATCTCTGGTGGTGCACAAAGATTACAGAGATCTCCTTTCCAGACTAAAGAGCCTGGATAATTTGGAGGCCTTTCCTTACAAGCTGGAACCCATTTTATTTTCTTTAGTGTCATCTTTCCTTCAGAAGACTGTAACAGTGTATGATTCTTATTCAAAACCAACAAGAGTGTTTTGGCTTTTTTCAGAACATCCTCATTTGGACAGGAACTGACATGTAAAACTTCAATTTTTTTTGCCACTTGCACAATATCTTTTTCTTTAAGACTAGCTTCATTTTTCAAACCAATCTGTCTTAAAGAGTGAAGAATATCTGGTGATGTGAAACCTGTGGGTGGGAAACAAGTCTCTTCTTCATTGTAAAAGAGATCTTTTAGAATTTCTACATCAGGATCAAATAGTTCACTGGCTGATAGCATCCGGTCCTGAGAAATCGGAATGAATTTTAATGGCATTAACCAATCAAGCACATTTGGATTCTCGTTTTTAAGAGAAGATAGATTCTCAAGGATCCATAACAAAAGATATGTTATTTCTTCAGGTGAATAAAATGCATTTTCAATATCTTTCAAGATAAGCTTTAAGCAACTAGTGGTCTTTAACTTTTCTACTTTCAACATGTTTGCCAAGCGAATAGTAGCTTCATCACTACTATCTATGACTGAAATGGAGAGTCTCAGATCTGATGGAAGTTTGGCAGTATGGTGTAAGACTTTACAGCCTTTCAGTTTTGTATAAGAGGAAACTCCCTCACCAGCTGAATGGTTAATTCGCTTAAATATTGTTAATTCCTGAATGATTCTTTTCTCCCTTTCACTGATATCAGTCAAACTTGCTAAGAACTTCCTCAGGGCATCTTTGTGTGTTGGAAGTAGTGAAGCTATTTGATTACACAATTTCTGCAATGGCATCTTCTCCATTATCTGCAAAATAGCACTTGGCAATGGTGAATGAAGGTATTTTTTAACAAGTGGATGCTGAATGGAGGCATCTAAATTTTTAAGGACAATCCCTCCAAGTTTTTGTACAATGTCTGCTATAAATTCTGGAAGCTGTGCTTCAGATACATCATCTAAAATGACTAATGATGGGATTCGGAGTCTAATGAGGTCCACACAGGCCTGACCTTCTTCTAGTGTAGTTCTAGGGATAAGAGGCATCTCATCAAATGAAGACAAATCCTCTGAAAAATGTATATAGAGATTCTTCCAAACCATTTTAAGCCATGAAACAGATGGGTGGTTTTTGCTTTCATCAAATGGATACCATTGAACGATCAAGTCTCTGCCAGGCCAGAATGTATTCATTACTTCTTTGATAAGACGTGCAAATCGATCTGGATTTAGAAGCTGTAGCTGAGTACATGGTCTCCCTGTAAGGCATATATAGAAATGTTACAAACACATGCTGATGCAAGTATAAGTTAAATAGACTTTCACTTGCACAGATGAACAAGTCATTAAAAAAGCACACAAAACAATGCAAAAGTTGAGTGGAACTGGGTTAAGATTATTTCTGAATAATCATAGGATTTTTCATACAAATCAATTTTATGGAAATAATAATTTTCTCTAGAAAGTGCTAAAATATGTAAAATAATGCTAAAATCTGTAAAATAAATTTCTCTAGAAAGTGTTTAAATATGTAAAATAATTTAAATGTGTTTTTTAATTATCTGTTAAGTTTCAACAAACATAATTAACTTGAAAAAATCTTTGTACTTCTTACTTGTTCCCAAATAAAATACCAAAGAAATTGTGTATAAAGCTTATATAAGCACCACTTTATTTAAGATGATGATCAGAGAAAGCTTATCAGTATAAATCTCTAATTAAACTGTGTAACTTCAGTTTCCAGGTACCACATGGCTGCCAGGACAGAGAAAGAAATGCAGGAGCAGGAATTCCTCTGAAGCTGAAGCAGCAGACATTTACACAGCTGCTTTTCAACCACTACCTAGATGTATAAGTCAGATGCCACAGTCTTTCTGGGCCTAAAATTTCTATCTGGAAAAAAAATAATAGAGAGGTTCTGGGTCTACGTATGTGCTCAAAGAACATAATCCTAAAACTTAGACATATTTCAAACTTTCTCACTGGCTTGGTGAAGCATATTCTGCAAAGCCCTCGGACAGACCTTGCAGAAGGGTAGGTGCAGCTGTGTGCTGCCACAGAGCAGACATGGCCGCCACCAGCTGAGCCATGTCTTCACAGACCGGGAGACTAACACACATCTGTCTGAGGAAAAAGGCTTTTGCTGATTTTTAACTACCGGCTTAGGAAATATTTTAGCTCTAGGAACTGGAGCAATAGTATAGTGTGAAGGACATTTGCCTTGCAATCGGCCAGCTGGGTTCTATTCCCAGCATTCCATATGGTCCCCCAAGCACTGCCAGGAGTGATCCCTGAGCACATAGTCAGGAGTGAGCCCTGAGCACAGCTGGGTGGGGCCAAAAATTTTTTTAACTCTAAATACATTCTGTATTTTGGAATATATATAAGTAGAAATCACTGTCCTCCCATTGTTCATCGATTTGGCTCGAACGGGCCAGTAACATCTCCATCATGAGACTTTGTTGATACTGTGTTTGGCATATCGAATACGCCACGGGTAGCTTGCCAGGCCCTGCCGTGTGGGCGAGATACTCTCGGTAGCTTGCCGGGCTCTCCGAGAGGGGCGGAGGAATCGAACTCAGGTCGGCCATGTTGGCTGCGTGCAAGGCAAGCACTCTACCCGCTGTGCTATTGCTCCAGCCCATAAGTAGAAATAGAGTGAAAAAATTAATCTTTATCTTAACATATAGAGCAAATTTTTAAAGGATGCCATATTTGACCTTGTATAAAAACTAAAATTCAGCTTTCTTTCTATGTATTTCTAGCTCCTATACCCTAAAACACTTATTTGGGGGGAAATTATAAGGTATACTTCACATCTCTTGAAACTTTGTTAGTTTTCAACCAAGAAAAACTTCCTTTACAAGCTTCCACACAAGAAAAATGAATAGTTTCTCCCAAGAAAACTATCTTTCATTTTATAATAAGATATCTTTAAAACTATTACCATGAAAATTTTAAGCAAGGGAAGGACACACTTTTTTTATGTTTTGAAGGATATCAATACCCAAATTATAATTTCCCTGTTTTATATTATGTGATTTCAAGGTTTTATCCATAGAATAACTGGTATAACTTCCCTTGCTGATGACCCCTCTTAACTATAGTTTTTGTAATTATTTTTAATTTAATATTCTTTGAAAAGTGCTTACTGCGTTAAATTAATTATAATATCCAAATTATAAGTAAGGCAAAGGATATACTAGCAAAGACACATACAGTTAAAATTCAAAATTTTACAAAGCTCAGAAAATAAAATGAAATAGGCAACACTAGTACTCCACACCAAATATTATGTTAATAATGGCCACATGACATGCGTTTTGTAGATAATAGTATCTGATATCCTTGCATAAAATTTGGCATTTATAAGATACATACTCACCTTTATGAAAATTATCTGATATTAAAGTACAAATAAAACACCAACAAAGCACACAGCACATACAACATGCAACTAAAAGTCATGCTCAGTTGAAAAATATGTAACAAAAAATAAAGGAGAGAGAAAATGTATAAGACATATCTCTAATTATGTAGACTAAGTTGCCTGATTTCTCTTTGCTTTGGATTTGTCTTAAATTTTTAGACCTAAAGCACACGTTAACTCAGAACAAAGGCCTCATGTCCTGGGTTAGTCAGCCACGGAAACTGTGAGGTGCCATTAACACAACCAGCACAGTAATTTCCACAGCTGTGTGATCTCACATCTGAAAATTATTAGCACTGTCAAGAAAGCTTGACTAGGCGCCAGCAGAAAATTCAGCAGTTGGGGCTCCTGGTTCAGTTTCCAGACTACCTGGTCCCTAGGAGGCCCCCAACACTTCCTGGGTGGCCTGGGTATCCACAGCACTATAGGGCCTGAGCAGCAGCACATCCCTGGGTTCTTGTCCTGAACTGAAGGTCCAGGTGGCCAAGATTTACAGGTGGGATCCCCAGATCTCCTGAACACTGCTTGGAACCACCACCAACCACCCTCCGCCCTCACACCCCCAACCCCATCAAGTATAAAAGGTTAACTCTATTGTACTGAAAGGGCTCCCAGAGATAAAAAGCACTTATCTAACTTTCTCAAATGAACTATTCAGAAGTAAATCTTCTAAGATTAATTTCTGCTCTGTAAGTTCATAATAGCAACGAATATGGCTTTTATATTGGATATTTATTTGAATGTTTATGTTTAGTTCTAACTTTGAGAAGTATTTCCAACATTGAAAGGAAAAGGGTCTACTTCAAAAGGCACTTAAGCAAAATCTCTCATCCTGAGTGCTGCCATTAGCCACACTTGATGAGACTTGGTTGATAATAATCCTGGGCTGTAAATACAATAGATGGTACACATGTTAACCTGTGCAGAAAGTGGCAGTGGCAGCTTTGACAGCTGATGAATCCTAACCATGCTCCACTGTGTAGAGATATCAAAAACTTCTTAAGTGCACATGATAAAGTGATGGCCAATGAAATGGTGTACTTGACAGCCAGCTCTCAAGAGAAACAAAGGAGAGGCCAGGGCAGGAAGGAACATAGCAACCACCTGCTGTTACGTTGCTGTTAAACAGCACTCCCCCAGCAAGGCCACCAGCAGCACTGCAGGACACCAAAAGACCATCAGAAACTTCCACCCCAACGTGAAGCACGGCTCGGTGATTAAAAAAATTGACAAGGGACCAGAGAGGTAGCGACAGAGCAGATGCCTAGCACAGGCAAGGCCCTGTATAGACTCCTGAGCACAACTAGGATAGACACTGAGTATGGCCTGGTGGTTCCTGAACACAGTCAAGTGGACTGTGGGTACAGCTGGTGGTCCTGAGAAGTCGGCTAGACACTGGGTATGGCCTAGTGATTACTGAACACAGTCAGGTGGACTGGGGCAGGGAGGTATAGCCTGGTAGTCTTAAGCACAATAAGCTCTGTTCCCGGCAGCAGAAACTGGGCCAAGTTCTGCTGGGGGTGGCACCAGTTCCCAACACTGGTAGGGTATGGCCCCAATTTTAAAATAAAGCAAAATAACAAAATACAGACAACACCAATGACCCCATTTCTGCTAAAGTCAACGCAGACACTGGTGCAGCCCTCCTGGTCTTCACCTGGGCCAAAAAGATAGCCAACCAGGGGATCCCTGAGCACCACAGTCCCCAGTGCAGTTGGCTCATGTCCCAATTTTATTTTTGTTTGATTATACCTTAAAAATTTACAACACGGGGCTGGAGGATAGCACAGTGGGTAGGGCGTTTGCCTTGCACACAACCGACTCAGGTTCAATTCCCAGCATCCCATATAGTCCCCTGAGCACTGCCAGGAGTAATTCCTGAGTGCAGAGCCAGAAGTAACTCCTGTGCATTGCCAGGTGTGACCCAAAAAGCAAAAAAAGAAAAAATATATAAATAAAAATATACAACACACTGATTTATATTAAAAAGTAACTTGGTTTCTAAATTAATGGTAGGGGACTGGAGGGACAGTACAGCAGGTAGGGCAACTCTTTGCATGCTGCCAACCCAGCTTCAATTCCTTCAAATATGGTTCCCTGAGCACCACCAGAAGTGATTCCTGATTGCAGAGCCAGAAGTAACCCATCAGTACCACCAGTGTGGTCCAAAATAACAAAAGATTTGAAAAGTAATAATAAATTAATTTCAATGTTATGATAACCTGCTTCAAGGACTGCCCTGACTCCAAAAATAATCTTTGTGAGTGAGAGAGTTCAAATGGCTCGGACATATGCATTGTGTGCCGGAGAGTGATTCTCAGAACCACATGCTCCACCCCAGAGTAAGTACAATGAGGTTTCACCCTGAAGGCCCCTAAGCAACGCCAGTGAGGACTGAGCAGCTCCCAGAACTCAGCACCTCCAGATCCACACCAACAGATGCTGGTCTGAGCACTTCCTCAGCATAATGAGTACCATCTGGGAGCCCTCAGGAAATAATCATTTCCATAAAACAATTTCTAATTCAATTTCTAAATACAATTCCTTCACCTGCAATAATAAACGTTCTATGAAATGAATGTTTCCAAGTCTCTTAAATATGGTTTCATTGTGGTATTTATCATCCAGGTATCTGTATTAGTAGTTTCCTCTCTCCTTTAATAATTATTGCCACAAGAAATTGTTGACATAATTTCTAGCTATTTATGTCAATTGAAAAATAAAGGATTGAAGGAACCAAATGAACAAAAACATCAGGCTACAAATGAACACAACATTTAGTTAGTTTTCATACCTGAGTATCCCCAGAGAAGTTGTTGTGCTAGAATA